TCCAGTACTGGAGACCAAGTGACCTCAACTTGCCTGCTGCTATTTACCAGAGATTCCTGGTGATTGGGTAAAAGGAGTCCAATAAGGAGCTGTGAAAAAAAGAGTGGCGTGGCGAAAGGTCAAAGTTTGAGGCTTAGCCACGCCCACACCTTTATACTTATTTAAAATCCGACGGTTGAATTTTTTCCTCTATGTCTTAAGACTATATAGCAGAAGTTTGAAAGTGATTGGTGAAAAGGGCGACGGAGTATCACTCTCCAAACAACGTGTGTGAAAACCACTAAATCGCGCACTTGGACCAAAATGGCCGACTTCCTGTGCGACTTTGCACTTGGCTTCAAGAGACTTTTTTGTAGGTCCTGAGACACCACATTAGTGTACCAAATTTCGTAATCCTCAGTCAAAGCATGGCTTGGGGCTGACAGTTTTAATGGTCCTAGGGGGCGCTATTTCAGAAAATAGGCCACGCCCACCAGATGTTCACATCAGATCTTTTGGGGGGCCGGACTAGGATCACTCACAAGAAGTTTCGTGACGATATCTTTGGAAATGACGAAATGGGAGGCAAACGTAAGGCCACGGCGGTACGCCTGAATTCGCCGCGCCGCCACAGCCCCGCCCTCTGCCGAAAACTCCCATAAAGTGACGCCAAGCAACCCCCACTTGTCTTGAGTTACCAGCTACAAATTTGTGGTGATTAAGTGTAATGGGGCAATTTGGGACCTTTCACAGTAAAACTTGACGTTTTTGCTCCTGAGGGGGCGGGGCTTGTGTGATGTCATCATCCGACCACTCAATTTCCTTTGTCGGCCAATGACGAATGACCACAGCACTTTTTGTAACTCTGTTACATTCAGTTATGAAGTTATAACAATTTATATTTTTTTGGCGAGTAGTCAAACTTTGAGGCCTGGCCCCGCCCCTTCAACATATACGAAAAGTCAGAATCCTTGTCTCATTTTGTTCACCCATCCCTTCTGAGCAATTTTACACAAGTTTTGAGTCGATCGTGCGAAAAATGATCGAGCAATCCAATCAGAAACGGACCCTAAAAACGGCAAAAACGGCTAAAAATCGCCATTTCAACCCAAAATGGCCGACTTCCTGTTTGATATTGACCATAACTGCAAGAGACTTTTCTGTGCGGACTGTTGAGTACTACAAGTGTCCCAAATTTCATAACTGTACGACAAACTAAGCTTTATGGAGAGGGTTTTTTTTCACTTTCTAGGGGGCGCTGTTCAGCCATTTTCTTTGCGATTTTTTTGGGACCTTTAAAATATCAAATTTTTCACCAGGCCTGACAAGTGTGCAAAATATTGTGAGTTTTGGGGTATGATAAGGTCCCCAAAAAGCCGTTCAAAGCGGGCTAAGAATAATAAATAAAAATTAAAGCTGCAAGCAGCGTCGTTCGGCCCTCGCAGCTCCGCGCCGCTCCGGCCTGGCCGGCAGCCCAGGGCACCAGGGCACGTCTGGCAGAACAGAAACATCAACTACCCCGACACCAGAAACCGCAAATGGCCTCCTAGTGCGCACCTCACCCTGACTCAGCATCCCCTCTGAGCTCACCATTAAATTGAATTGTAAGGTTACGGCTTTACGCCAGGATTCGCCCTGGCATCAAAGCCCCTCCCTTTCTGGAAAGCTATCAGATCTGAATGGTCATTACAGCATTATGAAGACAGTGCATGACCTTAGTGTCATGTTCACTAAATTAGAGGGGACAAATATGGGCTTTTCACCTTAAAATAATAGACTTCCTGTTATCAGGGGGCGGGGCTTAGGTGATGTCAGCTGTCCACATTGTCATTGTCTTCAGATGTGGTCAGTGATCACACAGACAAAGTTTGATATAGATCTGATCATGCACTTTGGAGTTATTAAGTCAAGTAATGTAATGGCGACAGGTTAAAGTTTGAGGCTTAGCCACGCCCACACCTTTCAACTTTTGAAAAATCCGACAGTTGAATTTTTTCCTCTATGTCTTAAGAGTATATAGCAGAAGTTTGAAGGAGATTGGTGAAAAGGGCGACGGAGCATCACTCTCCAAACAACGTGTGTGAAAACCACTAAATCGCGCACTTGGACAAAAATGGCCGACTTCCTGTGCGACTTTGCACTTGGCTCCAAGAGACTTTTTTGTAGGTCCTGAGACACCACATTAGTGTACCAAATTTCGTAATCCTCAGTCAAAGCATGGCTTAGGGCTGACAGTTTTAATGGTCCTAGGGGGCGCTAATTCAGAAAATAGGCCACGCCCACAAACTTACGCTGACCATTTCTATTGGGGGTCAGACTAGGATCACTCACAACAAATTTCGAGGTGACATCACGATAAATGAAGAAATGAGAGGCAAACGTATTGCCATGGCGTGATGGCGAATTTCGCCATGCTCCCAAAGCCCCGCCTTTTTTCAAAACCTGCCAGTACTGGAGACCAAGTGACCTCAACTTGTCAGCTGCTATTTACCAGAGATTCCAGGTGATTGGGTAAAAGGAGTCTAATAGGGAGCTGTGAAAAAAAGAGTGGCGTGGCGAAAGGTCAAAGTTTGAGGCTTAGCCACGCCCACACCTTTATACTTATTTAAAATCCGACGGTTGAATTTTTTCCTCTATGTCTTAAGACTATATAGCAGAAGCTCGAAGGCGATTGGTGAAAAGGGCGACGAAGCATCACTCTCCAAACAATGTGTGTGAAAACCACTAAATCGCGCACTTGGACCAAAATGGCCGACTTCCTGTGCGACTTTGCACTTGGCTCCAAGAGACTTTTTTGTAGGTCCTGAGACACCACATTAGTGTACCAAATTTCGTAATCCTCAGTCAAAGCATGGCTTGGGGCTGACAGTTTTAATGGTCCTAGGGGGCGCTAATACAGAAAATAGGCCACGCCCACAAACTTAAGCTGACCTTTTCTATTGGGGGTCAGACTAGGATCACTCACAACAATGGTCGAGGTGATATCACGATAAATGAAGAAATGAGAGGCAAACGTATTTCCATGGCGTGATGGCGAATTTCGCCATGCTCCCAAAGCCCCGCCTTTTTTCAAAACCTTCCAGTACTGGAGACCAAGTGACCTCAACTTGCCTGCTGCTATTTACCAGAGATTCCTGGTGATTGGGTAAAAGGAGTCCAATAGGGAGCTGTGAAAAAAAGAGTGGCGTGGCGAAAGGTCAAAGTTTGAGGCTTAGCCACGCCCACACCTTTATACTTATTTAAAATCCGACGGTTGAATTTTTTCCTCTATGTCTTAAGACTATATAGCAGAAGTTTGAAAGTGATTGGTGAAAAGGGCGACGGAGTATCACTCTCCAAACAACGTGTGTGAAAACCACTAAATCGCGCACTTGGACCAAAATGGCCGACTTCCTGTGCGACTTTGCACTTGGCTCCAAGAGACTTTTTTGTAGGTCCTGAGACACCACATTAGTGTACCAAATTTCGTAATCCTCAGTCAAAGCATGGCTTGGGGCTGACAGTTTTAATGGTCCTAGGGGGCGCTATTTCATAAAATAGGCCACGCCCACCAGATGTTCACATCAGATCTTTTGGGGGGCCGGACTAGGATCACTCACAAGAAGTTTCGTGACGATATCTTTGGAAATGACGAAATGGGAGGCAAACGTAAGGCCACGGCGGTACGCCTGAATTCGCCGCGCCGCCACAGCCCCGCCCTCTGCCGAAAACTCCCATAAAGTGACGCCAAGCAACCCCCACTTGTCTTGAGTTACCAGCTACAAATTTGTGGTGATTAAGTGTAATGGGGCAATTTGGGACCTTTCACAGTAAAACTTGACCTTTTTGCTCCTGAGGGGGCGGGGCTTGTGTGATGTCATCATCCGACCACTCAATTTCCTTTGTCGGCCAATGACGAATGACCACAGCACTTTTTGTAACTCTGTTACATTCAGTTATGAAGTTATAACAATTTATATTTTTTTGGCGAGTAGTCAAACTTTGAGGCCTGGCCCCGCCCCTTCAACATATACGAAAAGTCAGAATCCTTGTCTCATTTTGTTCGCCCATCCCTTCTGAGCAATTTTACACAAGTTTTGAGTCGATCGTGTGAAAAATGATCGAGCAATCCAATCAGAAACGGACCCTAAAAACGGCAAAAACGGCTAAAAATCGCCATTTCAACCCAAAATGGCCGACTTCCTGTTTGATATTGACCATAACTGCAAGAGACTTTTCTGTGCGGACTGTTGAGTACTACAAGTGTCCCAAATTTCATAACTGTACGACAAACTAAGCTTTATGGAGAGGGTTTTTTTTCACTTTCTAGGGGGCGCTGTTCAGCCATTTTCTTTGCGATTTTTTTGGGACCTTTAAAATATCAAATTTTTCACCAGGCCTGACAAGTGTGCAAAATATTGTGAGTTTTGGGGTATGATAAGGTCCCCAAAAAGCCGTTCAAAGCGGGCTAAGAATAATAAATAAAAATAAACAGAGCAAAAACAAGAGGCCTTCGCAGCGCTTTCGCTGCTCGGGCCTAATAAACAGAGCAAAAACAAGAGGCCTTCGCAGCGCTTTCGCTGCTCGGGCCTAATAATAAACAGAGCAAAAACAAGAGGCCTTCGCAGCGCTTTGCTGCTCGGGCCTAATAATAAACAGAGCAAAAACAAGAGGCCTTCGCAGCGCTTTGCTGCTCGGGCCTAATAATAATCAGAGCAAAAACAAGAGGCCTTCGCAGCGCTTTCGCTGCTCGGGCCTAATCAGAGCAAAAACAAGAGGCCTTCGCAGCGCTTTCGCTGCTCGGGCCTAATAATAATCAGAGCAAAAACAAGAGGCCTTCGCAGCGCTTTCGCTGCTCGGGCCTAATCAGAGCAAAAACAAGAGGCCTTCGCAGCGCTTTCGCTGCTCGGGCCTAAAAAAGAATAAACAGAGCAAAAACAAGAGGCCTTCGCAGCGCTTTCGCTGCTCGGGCCTAATTAAAACAGTAAATAAGAGTTTGGGCTTTCTATTTCTAAAGTCAGTCAGGCATCAAGAAAGCTTACGATTCAGCAAAAGGTCCAAGTAAGAGACATCCGACCAGGATGCCGGCCATCAGCACTGTTTGTGCCACGCCCAACAAACTAGCCTGTTCACAAACTAGATCAAACTGTAAAAAAAGAATGATCCAACTAGTTTGTAAAATTTGAAAGTTTTTGCAATGTGAAAACCTGAGAAAGATTAATCACTTACATCAGTGACTATAGTGGCCTCATACAGCATGTTACCGTACACCCATCCATTCAGACACCCTGTGGTGTCGTTGAGTCCGTGCTCCCGGATGGTAGCGATGTCCCAGTCCACAGGGACAAACATCTGGCACCTGCTGAAGGTCCCATCCTCCTCCCGGGGCAGAGTCAGGTTCAGCTGCTCCTCTGTGCTCAGGTTTGGAGCAGTCCTGAGGATCCAGTCTGTGTTACAGCGTCGCTCTGGATCCGGCTGGGTGAAATACACACTGGCAAAGTGAAAAGGCATAACAAAATTTGGAAAAGAAAGAGCAAACAGGATGGTCTTCTGAAATAATCCAAACTCTCCAATACTTTGCAGGATTTTGCCAAATTCAGCCATGTCTGGAAAGCAGACTTTCCCTTTCAGAGATGTTGCTGCAGAGTGACCTTTAAACAAAGCTATTAATGTTTCAACCCATGACGATGCACTTCAGGAAAGATGAGACGGCACTTCACAATGGGTGTTTTATGTTGTGTAAAGAGCAGTAGCTCCCGGGATTACTCAACCAAACTCATCACATCTGGGTCAACCACTCCATTATACCATGTTTGTTTTGCCCTGCAGTCCAGATTGCTGCTGTTTTATTTTTTTACTTTTATAAAGCTAAAAAGTTATTGAATGCATTCAGAAGTCATGAAACCTATTGGATAATATTGTGGACTTTGCAGTGACGAGTTTTGAAAAGCTGCACCTGTAAAGACTCGTTTTTAACTAGGAAAGGCATCTTGATTTAATTTCTTACAGACTCTAATTTTGCAGGTTCTTTTCTTCAAATCTGTGACTTAATGGGACCAGGGGAAAGAACGTTCTATTTTAAGAATAATTACAAACATCTGGGTCATTGTACTACCACTCAGTAAGTCATTATAAAACTACTTCAAGTTATATAAGCAAATCAGAAACAACATGCGCTAGTTGATCCATCAGAGTCTTGCAGCCATTGTCCTCTTGTAAATATGTCCCTGTCTAAAGTTTCCAGCCAAACTCTGCTTTTGAGAAGAACCAGTACAAAGAACACGGCAGCAGGAGTTCATCGATGTGCCAGGAGTCAGCATTTATCAGAGTGAAATCTAACTAGCTCAAGTTTGCAGGCTTGGCAGTCCGACTTGTGTCCAAGGGCACATGCAGAAGATGTTTCTGCTGAACCGCCTCGCAATGCAACATGAATCTGTCTCAGAGAGAATATTTACTCAGTAAAAAAAGAACAAAAACATGAACCCATTTTGAAAATGGGTTGAAATTTGACATGCTGTTGGAGCTGGGTTTCGACTATCGGTTTGGCCCACTCCCCTCAGCGGCAGCTCGGCGCATCTCTGATCGCAGCGGCGCCTGTCTGCTGCGTGGTCTGCCGGCTTGTGGAGCTCTCAGGAGACCTCTGTGTTCCAAACAATTTTACCCAGCGGTCAGCCCGGCGTATCTCTGACTCAAGCTCTGGTGTTGTGCACAGTTAACTCCAGTTGTAACTAGGTAGCTACCTCCGTTAGCTTAGCTCCCACCTCCGCGTTAGCTTTGGGTTAGCTTGTAGCTACATCGCTTCAGTTCGACAGGTGTCGTCATTTGATCCCAGCCTTACAGCCCCACCCTCAGCTCCACCTCTTTTCCCCCTTATGGAATTGTCTGGGCTTGTGACACGGTCAAAATGGCGGTGGTGGCCACCTCCCATTTTGCCACAAAAACGTTTAATTGGAGCCTATGGACACGAATTGTCCAGTATATATGTCAACGGTATCTTCCCATCTTTTCTAAATGCTGTTGGAATCCAGAGTGTTGTTCTGATTTTGTGCCAGCAGAGGGTGCAAATGTCCCATATGGTGTTTGGTAAAATTTAGAAGTGTTTCTACAAAAAAATACTTTATTAATCCATTTCCTTCTCGTCTTTCTTCTCCTCCTCCTTCCTAATGTTATTATTTTGCATATTGAATTGCCGGTGTGTCTGAAATAGGCCATATAGATAAAGCTGGCTTGCCTTGCCTAGTATTCCCAATAAGATAACCACAATGCTTAAGAAACAACAAAGATATATTATTATTAAGTAATTAATATTATTATTATTAAGTAAATTCAACAGTGTGATAAACGCAGCAAGACTTATTACAAGTACATTTTTGATGATTTCATGTTCTTTTAAGAGAGAAACTGAAATTGGCATGTTGTAAAACAGAACAGAATGGTTTTTATACCACTATTTTCTTTAAAAACTCCTTAAGATCAAAAGCCCTGCAGCAAGGGAAGACGGTTTGCTGTTAAATAAAATAGAAAATCATAGGAGAGCCCTTCCAGCCAATCAAAGGCGAGAAAGGCGGGACCTTCCTTGGGCATCCTATGATTCCAATTGTCACAGATGACGCAAACATCTTTATTTAGGAAGGAAACGCTTTCCTTCTCTGCCCCGAAACTCGTTCATCACATCATGAATCGACTTCAGTAGGGGTTCCCAAATTGGGCGTCCCCACAATTTTGTCTTAGCTGAGGTTGAGAAGTATAAGAATTTATTTGTAAAAATTACATTTATGTCCCAATAACACACTATACAGTATAAGTTACTCTGTATGTCTGCAAAACAAATGGGAAATGATCATGTTTAATGTGTGAATGCATGTAGTTGGGTTGGGGGGCTGGCTTGTGTTGGACACTAGCAAGGGGGTCCAGCCACATCACCATGATCATGTTTTACATTCCGTTTTCAACAAAATATTTTGGAAATTTATCATTACCTAAATTTGGTCAACTACATGATTTAATATTTTCCACACTTCTCTAATATCATGCTTAGCATTATTCAAACTTTTATAATAATAGCCTACACCTTTTTACATATTCTTATATTGGTAAGTTTATTCTTATATATTTCATATTTATGTTCAGCTTCTGGAGTTTTTATTTATTTATAAACAACCTGTACAAATTATTTTTCTTTTTGCAGGCACACTTTATCCCCTTCATCATCCATGGTTGATTATCCTTTTTTTTTATTTTATTTTTTTTTTGAGCTACTAAATTTTGTTATGGGACAATTCTTATCATACAATGAAATAAATATTCTTACAAAGGTCTCCTAAGCCTTGTCAACATCAGTTTGCTGGTACACTTCCTCCCATGTCTGTCTTATCAATTCCTTCTTCAAGGCGTTAGTTGTATTAACTGTTCGTATACGTCTGTACCTTATACTATTATCTGGATTATCATTCCTATAATTATCATAAATTATAAAAATTGGTAAGTGGTCCGTAATATCTACTTGGCAACTTGTCCAAGACCTCCAAACATCTGGCCCATACAGGAGGCGAAGGACCGTTTAGTGATTCCAATCCACTCTGTAGCTGCAAACAAAGTTCAGCCGCCAATTCTGAGCATTTTATGCAGAACTAAAGACAGGTACAGTAACAAAAGATTAGAAGGCATACCCAACACAACGGAGCAGCTCCTACAGCGAATTGTTTGGAGACACCCCAGCAGCTGCGATAATTATCAACAGGAGGACAACTGGAAGCTGGGTGGTTCTCCTGCGACCATACCTGAAGTTTAGACAATGAGACAGTTACATGGATGGTTAAAGCATCAGGAACAAGCTGGTGTATCTTTGATTAGATTGGGTTGAAGGCACTAACAAGTCAGCCATCGGTCCAAAGATAAATGAACCAGCAACTAAACCCGTCATGAAAACAGTCTGTGCTACTGCAGTCATGTTGGACTTTTCACAAACGAGACCAAACTGCAAAACAACAGTGAGAAAAATCAGCACCGCTGGTGTCATGGAGGAAAACGACATGCTAAACTCACATCAGTGACTATAGTGGCCTCATACAGCATGTTACGTACACCCATCCATTCAGACACCCTGTGGTGTCGTTGAGTCCGTGCTCCCGGATGGTAGCGATGTCCCAGTCCACAGGGACAAACATCTGGCACCTGCTAAAGGTCCCATCCTCCTCCCGGGGCATGCAGAGTCAGGTTCAGCTGCTCCTCTGTGCTCAGGTTTGGAGCAGTCCTGAGGATCCAGTCTGTGTTACCGGCGTCGCTCTGGATCCGGCTGGATAAAAAGAAAACTGCAGAAGAAAACTTGATAACAAATCTGGAAAGGCCAACCCAAAAACCACCAGCTTTTGGAAGAAACCAAAGTCTCCAATGGTCCTGAGGATTTCCCCAAAATCCATCATCGTCACACTGATGGAGGAAACTCCTGAAGTCTGGCTTCACCTCAGATACCAATCAATAATTAACTCTGAATCGATAACTCATTGTGTAGGAAGACCACCCTAAAGGTCTAATCTATACTTTTAGCCATGCAGGAGACGCAATAGCGCTAAAAAAAGACGTTACCACTCATTTCATCCCATCATCTGACTTTATTCAAAGACTACAAATCAGCTTCATGTGAACAATGTAGATAATCATTTAAGAATCTCCTTACACGTTAACGCAAGTACTCTGCTTTAAATTGTGTCTGGTTGTTCTCATTTACCGATTAAACATCAATTTCAACACTTTAATTGGAAATGCCTTAAAACAGAAACAAACCCTTGCCAATCTAAGATAATCATCACTCAGAGACCTTGTGTAGAGGCAGCGGCAAGTTGTTGACCAAAGAGAGGAGCATTAAATCCTCAAAACTCCATTATTACATCCTCTCATCAGTCTTGTGAAACGGTCTCCTTGAACTGGTTTCAGAGAAAAAAACAATGCAGTGATTACAGCTTCATGTAAATTCAAACTGCAGAAGTTCACATTTCTACGAGGTGCAGCCTGACCTGAGAGTGTGTGTGTGCTCAGGCTGTTGAAAGGCCAGGAGTGGAAAACACCACAAACCAACCAAATGTTGTGATCTCAAACTGAATCCACGGTTTTGATATGTACAAGTGAAATGTCAACTCTGCAACAATTAAAACGGTCGAAGCGTCGGCCGTTACCGACAAACCTGGTGTGGGGGTGCCTTCGTATGTACATTTACTACATCATTACCACTTACATCAGTGCCCGAACTAGGGGCCGGGTCACGGCCCTTTGCACAGGGTACGAAAAAAAAAAAGACATGCTGGGAGTGGTGATGGTGATTTCATGGTGTGTTAATAAAAATAAAAACATTACAGTCAAAGTTACATAAAAGGTGTTTTGTGTGTGATTTTGCCCATCGTTGCCCATGCAGACAGCACTGATTGGTTTAAACAACGTTTAATTTAATGGAAAAGGTAAATGGGACGTTTTGGGGTTAAACTCCTGCTCATCCTAGCATGTCGCCATGCCAACAAGGCTAAAAAAAAAATTCAACCCAACTGATCGGTGCACACTTCCTCACAATAAATCAAAAGCTATGCAAAGGCACTGAATGAAACCAACAACTTCAAGATTTGGGGGAATTCAATGGACCAGAGTTCAGACTTTCACCATTTTTTGGAACCAAAACGATCCGTTTAGACATTTTGGCAATTGAAAAATTGAGAACATTTAAAAAAATGTTAGTAATCTCTTTCCCTGAAACCACACGTCCGGTGCCGATGTCGCACGCATCAAGTTATTTTAAATAGACACTGAATACCAGTAAAAGTCGAGCAGATTTCATGGCATTTCAGTCGTGGACAAAAACAAAACACCGCCCACAACCAGGGCTGGACACGTTTGTGTTCATCGTGTCGTTGCGGTAGCTAAATCTCAGAGCTGTTATGCTAACTTTTAAACGCGACACCAAAAGACCTGCGAGCCAAAACGAAACCTGAACAGCTATTTGAGAGAACGGTCCCGGTAAGCTTTATTACACTTTGGAGGAACATAGGAAGTTTCTGAGCATGCATACCTCCACAGAAGTTCACCGGCAGCCAGCACGCAACACAAAGCACCTCATCAGCGTCCGACTGACTCAGGATTTAGTTTTGTGATGTTAGAAGGTTCTGGTTATGAACTCCCTTTGAGGCGCACAGACAAAAAGCAGTTTTATGCTAAACTAAACAAGCATCAACAGCAACTGGTGCTCACACACGACAACGTGAACAGCACTATTGCATAGTAGGAGATCAGACAGGTGTCAGGGGGTGGAAATAAACCCGTCTTTACTACACCACGACATATGACGGCGTGTTTTTGTTTTAAATCGAGACAACGCTGCTTTAGAGCTAAAACTCTTATGGTTTAGAAAACAAATCTACATTTATAACACTGGCAGAATTCCTCGGGCTGCCTTAAATATGTGAAAAGGATTTCAGTTTTTTGTTTTTTGGACCAACTTGAATCTGAGTTTTAGAAAATTACAAGAGAAAAGAGTGCTTCAGTGTGTTCAGAGGTCGTATCGGAATACGTGGGAGGGATCATCTCGATGGGATTCAGACCCATTTGAACTTTAAACCAAACACACTGGAACACACTGGAGGTCTTTTAAAACTAAGGCTGAACTTCCACTCGTCAGTTTCAGCGCAGCAGGAAGCGCCCTGGTTAGGTGGCATGACACTTTTCAGTTTTGTGGCACAGCGGATTTTAAGAATAAAGAGAAATAAAGGCATTCATTCCCACTACTAATACAAGATGTTTTGGATTGTGCTCGTGTCTGAGGAGGGAGTTTCAAACTGAAGGAAATTAGGAGTTAATATAATTGATTGCATTTCTTCTCTCATTTACTGTTTAAGCGCACTGTAAACATTTCAAGTGTGATTCCCGTGATGAACTGAACCCCTCTGTGTGGTCCTCGTGCATCCTGCAGTAGCGTCACACTTCTGCCAGCTTCACGTCTTATCATCATCATCATCATCATCATCATCATCTTTGGCAGTAGTGGTTTCTTGAAGTTGACTACAATGCAGCTGTGCAATACCGTAACTCTCTGTTGCCAGTTCTGCCCAACCTAACTGATGCTGAGCTGCGCAAATCCAATCAGTTTATTATCATCAGGAATCTCCGACTCCTCCACACCAGACGCCTGGGAAAAAAAAAAACTTTAACGTTAATCATCAAATCCAAAAGCTGTGGAAACATTTCAGCCGCTGCTCTTACCAGTTTAAACGTGAGATTTTTGTTACTTTGAGGATCTTCAACAATCTTTTGCAAATTGGCAGCAACTAAAAATGAAGAAGGATAAAATAAATAATAGTTGGATTCAGACATTCAGAATTTCTGCAGCTAAATACATTTAATAAATTTACTAAGATAAAAATTTAAGAGCAGCGATAAAAGTTTACACTATTCTTTCATCCTAAATGATCAAATTATAACTTCAAATAAACAACTAAGATTTTATAACGTGTAAAAAAAAAATCTCGTATTTTTTATTATGAGTCTTTTACACTTGGGCCTGCTGGGAGTCACGACCCCGCTGCATGGTGGGTCTTAGTTTTGTCACAATGTCAAAACTAACTGATAAGAACTAAAACACCGAACAAATCTCTAAAGAATAAATAAATCATGAATAGAAGATTTATCCAATTTAAGGTGTTATTAAATATAATTCTGATGTTTTTCATTCAAGATCATTAAAGCGTTTCAGACCCGGGAGACACCCTACCTATACAATTAATATTTCCACATCACATCAAATGGAACCAAAGCCTCCAAAACGCCAACAACTCACCAATGACCAAGTCCCTCCCATCAACCAGACCAGCCGAGACCAACTCCTGAGAAACTCCATCAGCAGAGTCTGAGGTCAAAAACACAAGAGTCACATAACGAGTGGTCAAACTAAACTAAACACGCCGCCAGCGCTCTCACCTCGGCCTGGCATGAACTCAAACCGGATGTCATTGAGCTCCTTCTTCAGGTTCCTCAATCTAAGAACGAGGCTGATGGGAACGCTGGAGGTGGCAACTGGAACCTGCACATAAGCCCAGGGGGAAAGTTTTGGAATATCTTACCTATACAAGTATGTTTCATAGAAAAGCTGATCCATTTTAGCCTCATCCATTTCCATACAAGCGTTTGTACCTGAACCGTAATCCCGTGTGAAGGACTGGCCGTCTGAGCGGCAGCAGGAGGCGGAGCTTCGTCTCCCGTGGGACCCACACTGGCAGGCTTCTCCTGTGCGCCACCCGGAGGCTGCAGGTGTGATGCAGAGCTGTCCGCAGGTGGGAAAAGCTAACAAAAAAAATAAAAAACTTAAGTAAATGGTAAATATTTCACATTGAAATTTAAATGTCTATTAAATAGAGGCACGCGCACACACACACACACACACACACACACAAAAGAGTCATGCAGATTGCTGTGTATCAGCATCATGATGTAATAAATCACAGTTTCAGGTCATGTCCACTACAACGTGACTCACCTCCATATTCTGGGACCCGTCCTTCACCCTGGGAGACTGCAGAATGGACATGACAGATTGTCAGGATTGAATACATGCAGCCGTTTCAGCCCCTCAGAAAATAAAACGCGCATCGCACTTCAGACAAACAGGAAAGTAGAGCCCACACCCACATCTTGGTCAAACATCGACACAAAGTAAAATAACGGATTTGAGCAACTTATGAGGATCCGTTTGGCTTGTATGCATTATTAGATTTTAGTTCCTGAAAACACAGACAAGCACGTTGTTTGCTGCACTGTGCAAAATTCTCGAGAGACTGCTTGTTTAGGGTTTGCTTCCAAAATACCAAATTGAGCTAAAATGGAAGTTAGTATCAAGACATTTACACATTAGGTCAGAAAAATTTGCTGATTAGTTTTTTACTCAGTAAAACCACATTAGACTCAAAATACAACCTGGTTTTAGCAAAAGTACACTCGTGCTCAGTTAAGTTGTTCAAACACAGGGTGTGAGGGAACCGAGAAGAGCTGCGTTTTACCCTCAGAGCTGCCACAGCGGCTTTTCCCTCCTCGCTCTCCTCATCCAGCTCATCATCGCTCCACTCCCACCCGCCGTCTTCAGTCTTGTGGAGACGGCCGCTTGAGCCAGGCACACGGCGCACCTACAGGAGGCATTAGGAAACGTGCTAAGTCAATACTGACTCATCCGTCAGAGGCAATCCCAGCATGCACTGGGCAATAAATTCAGCCACAGTGACCCACTCTGAAGAAGAAAGCTGACTAGGACTGCAAATGAATTGGTGAATCAAAGTGCCTGCATGTGCTGCACCAGATGTAAAAACTCTTATTAGTTTAGAAGTATTTTTAAATCCTGCTTTAATAACAAAGGGACTAAATTGTGCTTTGCAAAGCGGGGCTGCTAAATAAAGGGTTGAAGCAATAATGGCAAATCTGCTGAACAAGCTAGCTTAAGACATTTGTTCATGCATCTTAACATTCTAACACTATAGCTATAAATATATTGTGGAGATTAAAAAAATGTATAAATGGGGTCTCTCACATTTGTCTAAAAACCTCAGCCAATAACACGGCTCGGTCCAAAACCAACGGCTGGCCCATCACGTTCTCCGTCTCACCTAAACACGGCTCCTCTGCACTTCCCTGGGTCCTCCATTCATTATGCACTCGCACATTTTACAACACACCACTGGCTTGAGAAGTTTTTTGCTCATTAACATCAGAGAAACAGCCAGCTGCAACCATTCAACTTTAGGACAAACTACCAGAGTCCCAAAGCGAAAAACACCGTTTGGACCTGGAATACAGCAACTGGTGTGTAAGCGTTCTCTCGTTTACTGTGGCAATGCAGGTTTCCATGTCCGGGGGCGTGGCCTGGGATGATTGCCACTGGGAAGGATGAGAGTTCTGTGTTTGTGTTTAACTCATTCACTGCCAGCCGTTTCCTGATCGCTAACGGCCTTCGCTGCCAGCATTTCTCACCGTTTTTACTGTTTTTTTTAAGAGTCACAGAACGTTGCTCGCTAGCATGATGTCGATGCCAAAACAGCCAAAACAAAGCGGAGACTCATCTCTTACATCAGGAAGAAGCCGCGTGTTTCGAGCGTTATCCGTTCTTTCATAATCCGTTGTCGAATTGTGATCGGCAGAAGCTTTTCCGGTTCGCGCTTCACTTTTTTTTACAGGAACGGCCCAAAACGATCTCCAAACACATGGATGTTCTGCTTCCTGATCATGTGATCCGTGACGTATGCGGAAGAAGGTCGGCTTCAGGGCTGAGATGTTTGTTCTCTCAGCGCGGGGGCTCGTTCCGATGCTCAAACAGTAAAAAAATGCAAATGACGACTTTAGTCGTCATTGGCAGTGAATGAGTTAAAAGTTAGCTTGTTCTTTCAGACTTGTTATCGCAGCTTTAATGTCAAAGTGAACTTTTAGCATGCATAAAGTAGCTTTTAAATGTAGAACTGATGCAGCTCCTCCCGCTTCTGTCTCTGTGCAGGAGGAGTCGGGGTGCTGCATCCTGCAGGTCTCACTGTAAACACCGAGTGTCCCTATGGTGTTTCTATCAGCTGGGTTCAGACCCACAACATTTCACCGGACTGGTCTTTTACTTTAAACGTCCTTTCTTCCTCCACCACAGACAACATCTGCATGCATGTTTATTGAGAGTGCAAGTAACTAGTCCCACACCTTTTTAGAGCGATCTGATATTGTGGGACCTTTCATTAAGAGCTTCTCCTCCAAGTACTCGTTGTTCTGCAACAGAAAGACAAAGATTTGCTACAAAACCTATAAACACCCTTTCTTTAAACACTTTTTTTTTTGGCATGAGTGATGCTGACCTTGGCTTTTGTGAAGAACTTGTGCTTCAGCAGCTCAGCAGCAGTTGGCCTGAAGAGAGAAGGCTCTTCATTAAAGCCATCACACAAGCAGAGGAGAAGAAACTCAGAGTCTAACTGACCTTTTCTCGGGATCTTTCTGTAAACACAAGGACAGCATCTTCCTGAATGACTTGCCATATTTCTTCACCATTTCCTTATCTGTGACACCCGTCTCCAGCGTCGGGGGGTCGTTCTGCAGAGTCAGCATCAACACCTGAAAACAATAACCCAAAATATTGGCAGTTAAGAACTTTTTGCTCTTCAAAACTGAAAATTAAATCTGCAATCAGCATGAATCACTAATTAAACTGAACTAAAAAGAACACACACACACACACCTTTAGATTTGATCTCAATACACAATCACTCTAGCGTTGTTTCCATAAGCTTCTGCAACACCACAAGACCTATTTCCACCCAGATGCATCGTTTTTACCAAGGTCTTGTACTGATGATGGGGTTGTTAGATAACGGACGACGGCTCACTTCACTCGGCCCTCGGCCTTCTATCAGACCGACACGAACACCCGATGAGTTTCACACATGAGAATATGAAGGAGCACACAGCCACGTCCTACACATTTCCTCGAACTGATCCAATAGGAAGGAGCCAACTCAGTAAGTGGGTGGGGTCTAGATAGGGTATGTAAGATGATGTCACATCACTCTGAATGATTTTTATAGTCAAGAAGACCGGTATGCGTGTTTTTACCCTCCATCACTTGACTTGTTCCGTATAAACCGAATGAATTACAGCTACTGAATCAGTCTTTATTGGCGTCTATCGCATTAAAGCTTAAACTGTATCCCGAACGGCCTTCCCCTGGGAACCAAAGAATCAGGACTCTGGAGTCTGTCCAAAGGAATGGTGACGACAGACCAGACCCAGTGGACACAGGACCCCTACAGCGCCAACGTCTGGACTCTGTGGTGTCTGACCTAGACCACTCTTTCACTACAGGAGCCTCGTGAATCCTGCCATCATCATGCTGGAACATGCCCGTGCCATCAGGGAAGAAAACATCCACTGATGGAATTACCTGCTCTGTTTATTCAGACAGTCGGATGACCTCATTGTTTGAGCTCACACTGTTGCTGAACCAAGACCTGACCCACTGCAGGAACCCCAGATCATAGACTGGTCTGGTCCCACGGGCTTGTACACTGGGCATGATGGGAGCATCTGTTTATCTGCTTCTCTTCTTATCCTGAGGCTCCCATCACTCTGGACCAGGTAACTTCACTGATCAGTGGTTTTCTTCTGGCTGCACAGCCGTTTAGTCCCAACGCCGTGAGATTCCTTCTCATTGTGGAAATAATCTGTCACTATCAAACAGATCTGGATTCTACAGTACCGTATTTTCCGGACTATAAGCCGCTATGTTTTCCCACACTTTGAACCATGCGGCTTATAATGAGGTGCTGCTTTAGTCAACCAGAAAGGATGGATGCTGGAAAGCGTCCAGGAGGATTTTTTTCACAGTAAAACGGCGCTGCTTTTGTTCCAGCTTCACCCCGGGATGATGACAGCAACACGGAGAGCGACGCTGACATCGTCACAGAAAAGGTGTGTGACGAAGCTCTTCTGAGGCTGTTCAACTCCGACACTGAAGAAGAGGATGACTTCAGTGGTATCAGTGCGCAGGAGGACGATGAATAAACTAATCAATAACTTTTCTGTTTTGTTCGATACTGATCAGTTCAGTTACGTT